TTTTATGTAATGAATTTCTTTTATGATTCAACACTATATTTTAATATATATTTTTATATATAAAATAACAAGAAAAATATACTTTAATAATTATTTTTGTATTTAATTATTATTATTGACAATAATTTTATCGATAATATTTCATTATCAAGATGAATAAAATTATATTTTAATTAATAAACAATCATGATAGTTGATTATTTAGAAATGAAGCACGCGTATCAAATATGCTGTTGCGACGTAAAAACAGTGGGCCCACTACAAAGCATCGCCAAGCGAGGTTATCGAGACAAAAATTGCGCTCACGCCCTTTGTCACGCCGCTCGGACAAGAGAAGCGCTGCGTATGATGTACGCGAGCATCCGAAGTTCAGCTAACGGCCGCGGTCCGAAAACCAATCGGAGACACCCGTGCAAGGGTAATCCCCTTTTTTTGTGGGAACCTTCTAGATCCGAACAGCGTCGTGAAGTGTCTAGAAAGAAATCGTTCTTCGTAGCGTTAAGAAGCCGAGTCTTCAAGCGTTAAATATCGAGATCTCTTGTTACGAATAAAGTCGAAACTTTGTGAAATAGAGACCGAGACCTTACGAATTAGAGGCCGAGACCTCACGAAATAGAGGCCGAGACCTCACATTATAAGAATAGCGTCGACAATGTAAGTCATATACATCATATACATTAAATAAGCTATAAAACGAAAATAGTGTGTGAATTAATTCTCGCATACTTGCAACATATGGTGCCTCCTGTGAGGTCGTTTGCGGTGCAAACGCGAACGACTATTAAACGATTAGCGACCTGAACTATGGTGGCCATCGATTAATCATCAGCCAACAAGGAGAAAGGCGATCACGAATTCGGGAAGACGAGCTCACGCAGTGAGAGACAGGTTAACGGCAAGTACATTCCACGTATATATCAGGTTGTCGATTGAGCAATTTTTTCCATCCTTTACCTTTCCCGAACTACATCATGGCCGATCAAATTAAACTTCTCATTCAGACACGAACGTCGCTAAAGACGCAAATTACTAGCTTGAAAAATCTTGTCGAACGGGGACGGTATGATAAGACCGCGTTAAAATTACGCGTGACTCGCATTACGGAACTTTATCATGCGTACGAAGAATTTAATGACGAGCTCATATTGTTAGATCCGAACGATCATCATAAGGACGAGTTTGCGAACGTTCAAGAAAGATTTTATTCACTCGCAAGCAAGGTCGAAGACATAGTAAACTCTACCACATCGGCCGCGAACGCCAGTACTTCGAGCAACGTAACACAACCCAGCGGCTCTGGGGCCGCAGTGATTACAAAGCGGCGAGTAAAGTTACCAGAAGCAACTTTGCCTAATTTTGATGGTCGCTATGAGAATTGGTTGTCGTTTAAAAACACCTTTCTCGCCATGATAGATACACAAGCGAATCTATCCGAGGTAGAAAAATTACAATATCTAAAATCGGCATTGAACGGCTAATAAAGTAAAGATTTTGTCAATCGAAGGCTCAAATTATCACAAGGCGTGGGAATTGTTAAAACGTTCTTACGAAGTAAAGCGGATTTTAATTTCACGCCATCTTTCGTTGCTCTTAAACTTGCCCGTTTTAGAAAAGGAAACGACCGACGGTCTATCTAAACTTGCTGACGACGCACAGCAGCATGTCGCATCTTTGGCCGCGCTGGGAGTTAACGTAGGGAGTTACGAGTATTTCGTAGTAACGAAATACTCGTAAGCGTACTCGAGAGTAAATTACCAAAGAATACAGCTGAAAAATGGGAAGAAACGTTGGATCGAGACGAGTTTCCAAAAATCGACGATTTATATGAATTTTTGTACAGAACCACGGTTCGCGTGTCTAAGCGGATCCGAGAAACATCCAAACGAGACGATGATAAATTTGTACCTCCCTTTAAAAAAGGACGAATGTCTAATAAGGCATTCGTAGTTGACGTAACGAATAATTGCACGGCTTGTAAAAATAAACAACATCCGTTATTTAAATGCGCTAAATTCAAACAATTAACTGTACCTAAGCGTATTGAATTCGTGAGAAACGCGATGCTTTGTTTTAATTGTCTACGTTCTCATCGAGGTAAAACTGGCAATTATACTAATTGTACTATTTGTCAAAAATAACACAACACACTTTTACATCTCCACAAAAACACGGCCGTATCGGCAACGACCAACGCGACAGAACCAAAAGAAACGCAAACCGCATGACTAGAAGAGAGCGGCAATAAGGCGATGTGTCTTGCAGCGATTTCACCTACCTGTACCTATACCACAATTAATGACAACCACGACGATATTTGTACAAGATCGTGATCTCAATATGATTAAGTGCCGCGCATTGTTAGATACATGCGCTGCTGCCAATTTTATTTCGGAAAGACTCGCGAGACATTTGAAGCTCCCTATAACTTCATGCGCACTACCGGTCGGTGCAATTAACTCTATGAATACGGTATCAAAGGGTGTCATTCAAATCACCATTCAATCTCTGCACAACGAGTTTCGCAAGAATTTATTATGTTTATCGATTCCGATAATATCAGATTTAGTTCCATCTGAGATTTTCCCGCGACATTCCATCAAAATTCCGTCTAACATTAAATTAGCCGATCCGAAGTTTCATTTACCACATCCGATCGATTTATTAATCGGAGCCGGAACAACATTGTCGCTGTTCTCAATCGGTCAAATCGATCTGTCCCAAGAAAAGCACGATTTATATTTGCAAAAGACTCGCTTCGGCTGGATAGTCGCGGGCGGAATAGCATCGCGGAAGTATCCGAAAAATGTAACATGCCAATTATCTAGCTTGGAACAACAAATTGCTAAGTTTTGGACGATTGAGGAACTAACAACCGATACACCCAAATCTACTAAGGAACTCGAATGCGAAGCGCATTTTGCAAAAAACGTCACTCGCGATAACAGCGGCCGCTATATGGTACGATTACCATTTCGTAAGGGTGATAAACGCCTCGGTGATTCGCGAATCGTTGCACTCAAACGCCTGAACTCTCTCGAGCGAAAACTCGATTCGGACGCGATGTTAAAGACCGCTTATTCATAAACAATACAAGAATATTTAGACTTAAAACAGATGTCTCCGATAAATGATTCATCTGACGACGGGTTTTATATGCCACACCATGCAGTGGTCAAATCTTTGAGCCACACTACTAAAATTCGCGTGGTATTCGACGCGTCGGCGAAATCAAATACTGGCACAACTTTAAATGATATATTAACAGTAGGGCCGACTATTCAAGATACATTGTTCGCGCACTTGATTCGATTCCGCACATATAAATACGTTCTTACCGCGGATATAGAAAAAATGTATAGACATATATTGCTACACGAGGATGATCGAATATATCAACGCATACTTTGGCGTCAAAACAAGCAAATAAAGACTTTCCAACTTAATACTCTCACATTTGGCGTATCTTCATCACCTTATTTTGCCATACGAACGGTTCAAAAACTTGCCGATGATGAGCGCGACGCGTATCCTATTGCCGCCCGAGTTCTCAAAACACATTTATACGTGGACGATTTACTGATCGGTATGAATACTATCAGCGAAGCTCGTGTGTTACGGGACGACATAATTACATTACTTTCTCGGGGCGGTTTCAATATCCGACAATGGGCGTCAAACGACGAACGTATTATCAATGATTTGATTCCCGATGCGTTGAATTCGAATCTCATATTGGATAAAGACGATTCTTTAAAAACACTAAGCATAGCGTGGCGCGCGTATGACGACATACTACGTTATTCAGTACGTTCGATTGATCGCGTCGAAAGAATCACGAAACGAATTATTTTTTCAGAAATAGCTAAGATTTTCGACCCGTTAGGCATATTAGGCCCCATTATATTGCACGCTAAAAAATTAATGCAAAATTTATGCCGATGTAAATTAGATTGGGATGAATCTATTTTACCTAGTATACACACCGCGTGGACAGATTTCGCGACACAATTAGATTCACTTAAGGAATTATCTATTGATCGTCAAGTATTAATTCCGGATTATACCGATATTCAATTTCACGGATTCTGCGATGCGAGTAACGTGGGTTACGGTGCTTGCCTATACATTCGTTCGAACAATCGATACAACAACGTACGTTGTCGTCTACTTTGTGCTAAATCTCGAGTCGCGCCATTAAAACCTGTGACGATACCTCGGCTCGAACTATGCAGCGCACTTTTATTAGCCAAATTATATCGCGAAGTACATCGTGCGTTAAGACTCTCCCCCAACAAAACAGGACTGTGGAGCGACTCGACTATTGTACTACATTGGATTAAAACTTCGTACCCACCACTACAGGCGTAGTGGTTTAGGATGGACTACTCGAGGAGGCTTCCATTCATACTGGTGGTGAGTCAAGACTCATCGCTGAGCGGCTACGGGCGCCAATTTTCAATCGTTATGATTTGGACCGCTCTGGAGACGTGCTAGGGATTTCGTCTCTCCGTGACAATCGGCACTGCATCCATTGAGCGGAAAGCGAAAGACTCGGGTTCGATTCCCGATTCAGCCACTTGTACCTCGCATATTTTTTCAGACCCGCAAATGTTGTTTTCTAACAATTATTTGTCGGGCTGAGGAAGTGTGTAAACGCCCTACACAGACACGACAATGCCGCTGCCACGGAAGAGATGGATGCTTGGTTCGTGCCTCCTCCCGCCTTAAAATCCCCCCCTCGCTTCACTCTGCGGTGTACATCTGTGCCAGCGTAAGTGCTGGTAATCTGTCCACTAGATCCACCACGTGGTGACGGTGGAAGATCGTATTATTAATTGGGAGCAGAAGAGGGGGCTGCTTAGGCGTAGTGGTTTAGGATGGACTACTCGAGGAGGCTTCCATTCATACTGGTGACGAGTCAAGACTCATCGCTAAGCGGCTATGGGGGCCAATTTTCAATCGTTTAATATGATTAGACCGCTCTGGAGACGTGCTGGGGATTTCGTCTCTCCGTGACAATCGGCACTGCATCCATTGAGCGAGATTCCAACATCGCTCTGGAGTCGTATGTACTGTGTTAGAGTGGCGTAAGGTGCGAGGTCTGAATAGCTCAGTGGTAAGAGCAGTTGCCCGGAAAGCGAAAGACTCGGGTTCGATTCCCGATTCAGCCACTTGTACCTCGCATATTTTTTCAGACCCGCAAATGTTGTTTTCTAACAATTATTTGTCGGGCTGAGGAAGTGTGTAAACGCCCTACACAGACACGACAGTGCCGCTGCCACGGAAGAGATGGATGCTTGGTTCGTGCCTCCTCCCGCCTTAAATCCCCCCCTCGCTTCACTCTGCGGTGTACATCTGTGCCAGCGTAAGTGCTGGTAATCTGTCCACTAGATCCACCACGTGGTGACGGTGGAAGATCGTATTATTAATTGGGAGCAGAAGAGGGGGCTGCTTAGGCGTAGTGGTTTAGGATGGACTACTCGAGGAGGCTTCCATTCATACTGGTGGTGAGTCAAGACTCATCGCTGAGCGGCTACGGGCGCCAATTTTCAATCGTTATGATTTGGACCGCTCTGGAGACGTGCTGGGGATTTCGTCTCTCCGTGACAATCGGCACTGCATCCATTGAGCGGAAAGCGAAAGACTCGGGTTCGATTCCCGATTCAGCCACTTGTACCTCGCATATTTTTTCAGACCCGCAAATGTTGTTTTCTAACAATTATTTGTCGGGCTGAGGAAGTGTGTAAACGCCCTACACAGACACGACAGTGCCGCTGCCACGGAAGAGATGGATGCTTGGTTCGTGCCTCCTCCCGCCTTAAATCCCCCCCTCGCTTCACTCGTATAGTAAGTTTACGCTGTACTAATCCATTGTTTTTACAACGAAAGTCTGTTTACGACTTTTAAGCGTGGGCGAGAGGCAAAGCCTCTCCCCCTGCATCTCCACCCTCCCCCCGCAAAAAAAACTGACCAAATGCAAATCTAATTTTTATTCAAAAAATAGAAATTGGTTTGCGTTAGGTTAGAATTTTTCGGGGCGGGGATGCAGAGCCTCTCCTCCATGCATTCACTTTGCAATGATTGTAAACAAAACTTTTTCTAGTTAGAAAATGACAAATACATTAGTACGACGTACACAAACTTCATTCTTCCTATTATTTCATAATATATAAAGAAAAATATTAAGATGGTCAAATTTTAATTTGTTATATTTCCTAAACTAATGCCGTTCACCATTTGATTTTTGCGGAAAATTATTCAGAACAATCTCCCTTATATCATATCCAAGTGGCGATAAAATCGGTAAGATGTGATCTATTATGTATATTTACCAAATTTATATAATCAAATATAAATATAATAAAATATGTTTATATATCAGTTAAGCATGAGATACAATGGCAATGAGAGCACAGCGCATAAAAGTTTATTACAAACAAAATCTCAATTGTATCTCAATTGTATTGAATAGCTCAGTGGTAAGAGCAGTTGCCCGGAAAGCGAAAGACTCGGGTTCGATTCCCGATTCAGCCACTTGTACCTCGCATATTTTTTCAGACCCGCAAATGTTGTTTTCTAACAATTATTTGTCGGGCTGAGGAAGTGTGTAAACGCCCTACACAGACACGACAGTGCCGCTGCCACGGAAGAGATGGATGCTTGGTTCGTGCCTCCTCCCGCCTTAAATCCCCCCCTCGCTTCACTCTGCGGTGTACATCTGTGCCAGCGTAAGTGCTGGTAATCTGTCCACTAGATCCACCACGTGGTGACGGTGGAAGATCGTATTATTAATTGGGAGCAGAAGAGGGGGCTGCTTAGGCGTAGTGGTTTAGGATGGACTACTCGAGGAGGCTTCCATTCATACTGGTGGTGAGTCAAGACTCATCGCTGAGCGGCTACGGGCGCCAATTTTCAATCGTTATGATTTGGACCGTTCTGGAGACGTGCTGGGGATTTCGTCTCTCCGTGACAATCGGCACTGCATCCATTGAGCGAGATTCCAACATCGCTCTGGAGTCGTATGTACTGTGTTAGAGTGGCGTAAGGTGCGAGGTCTGAATAGCTCAGTGGTAAGAGCAGTTGCCCGGAAAGCGAAAGACTCGGGTTCGATTCCCGATTCAGCCACTTGTACCTCGCATATTTTTTCAGACCCGCAAATGTTGTTTTCTAACAATTATTTGTCGGGCTGAGGAAGTGTGTAAACGCCCTACACAGACACGACAGTGCCGCTGCCACGGAAGAGATGGATGCTTGGTTCGTGCCTCCTCCCGCCTTAAATCCCCCCCTCGCTTCACTCTGCGGTGTACATCTGTGCCAGCGTAAGTGCTGGTAATCTGTCCACTAGATCCACCACGTGGTGACGGTGGAAGATCGTATTATTAATTGGGAGCAGAAGAGGGGGCTGCTTAGGCGTAGTGGTTTAGGATGGACTACTCGAGGAGGCTTCCATTCATACTGGTGGTGAGTCAAGACTCATCGCTGAGCGGCTACGGGCGCCAATTTTCAATCGTTATGATTTGGACCGTTCTGGAGACGTGCTGGGGATTTCGTCTCTCCGTGACAATCGGCACTGCATCCATTGAGCGAGATTCCAACATCGCTCTGGAGTCGTATGTACTGTGTTAGAGTGGCGTAAGGTGCGAGGTCTGAATAGCTCAGTGGTAAGAGCAGTTGCCCGGAAAGCGAAAGACTCGGGTTCGATTCCCGATTCAGCCACTTGTACCTCGCATATTTTTTCAGACCCGCAAATGTTGTTTTCTAACAATTATTTGTCGGGCTGAGGAAGTGTGTAAACGCCCTACACAGACACGACAGTGCCGCTGCCACGGAAGAGATGGATGCTTGGTTCGTGCCTCCTCCCGCCTTAAATCCCCCCCTCGCTTCACTCTGCGGTGTACATCTGTGCCAGCGTAAGTGCTGGTAATCTGTCCACTAGATCCACCACGTGGTGACGGTGGAAGATCGTATTATTAATTGGGAGCAGAAGAGGGGGCTGCTTAGGCGTAGTGGTTTAGGATGGACTACTCGAGGAGGCTTCCATTCATACTGGTGGTGAGTCAAGACTCATCGCTGAGCGGCTACGG